TTACACTTTTGAGTCTGAACTTCCACACTTTTTTTCCCCTTCAATATTTCGTCAAAAAATTCATCCGCATGAAAAATCCACACGTTTAATTCGGGAACAATACTCAAACTCTTCCTACTAAACAACACGTCAGATATATTGATCGTCACTGATCTGTACTTTCCCGAGATAAGTGCCTAGTTTGAGAGATTTGAACAATTATTTTAAAATGGAGGATGTATATTCAAAACTCTATACCAATCCGGCTAATATTGCTTTACATGAGAGCTTATTCATTGTTACACGATTAGAGGAACGAGACGGACGAAATCCGTCGGGACGCAACAATAAGAAGCCTGCGCTACTGCGTATTTTGGTGAAATGGACTACTTTGTCGCATTTACGAATACAATGAAATATAAATTCTCCCACTATAACACAGAAAATATTAACAGGCCACAGTATATACACGAAAACCACATAAGAGGACATTTTTCCCGAATGTAGAAATTTTCTTTTCTTTATTAAAATCGGCAAGTGAAGAAGAGTTAGAAAAATACACTGGCGTTAAAAGAAGAAGATTACGTGTAAGCTACTGAGCTTTGAGCTAACCGTTGTTCCTCTATGAGGTCCTCCCCTGCCTAACACAATTACATGTGAGTGAGACTACCATGAACAATTTATCAGAAGCCTATAAAAACCCTAATCCTTCCTTGTTTTTTCCAATCCTTAACCAACTGCATTCCCATTTTTCCCTCCTCCCACCAATTTAAATTCCACAGAAAAGCAAACAAAGTGAATGGAATATGGCTTCCATACAATCCCTTCTTTCTTCTTCTGCCTCATTAGGAATGCACACGACGATTACTCTCAAGTCATCCATGATAAGAGGGACTTCTTCAAGCCTTACTTTCAAACCCCTGGTCAACACCTCGAGTCAACTAATTACTCGAGGTGTTTACCAATTCAAATGGGCCGCCAAAAACGCCAACGTGAACGGTCTTCAGCAACACCATGATACGGAGAAGAACGGAGAATGAGATCTCTTCCCGATCGATAATAATCTTCCAAAACCGTTAACACTAGCTGATCTTTCACCCGCTCCAAGACACGGTTCTAAGCTCCGGGTAGCTCACTTGGGAGTTCCGGGTGCTTACAGTGAAACCGCCGCGGGAAAAGCTTACCCGAACTGCGAGGCCATACCTTGTGAACAATTTGAAGTTGCATTCCAAGCCGTCGAGCTCTGGATCGCCGACCGAGCCGTCTTACCGGTTGAGAACTCCCTCGGCGGCTCGATCCACCGCAACTATGATCTCCTCCTCCGCCACCGCCTCCATATCGTCGGGGAAGTCCAACTCCCTGTTCACCATTCCCTGTTAGTCCTCTCGGGAGTCCGGAAAGAAGACCTCAGGCGCGTGATCAGCCATCCCCAAGCCCTAAGTCAGTGCGAGCAAACATTGGCCGAATTAGGCCTCAACTTTGTCACTAAAGAGGCGTTCCACGATACGGCCGGAGCGGCGGAATTTGTGGCGGCGAACAACCTACGTGACACGGCGGCGATCGCGTCCGCAAGGGCCGCGGAGCTGTACGGGTTGGAAGTAATGAAAGACGGAATCCAGGACGATTCCGGTAACGTAACCCGGTTCTTGATGCTTGCGAGGGAACCGGTAATCGCTCGGACCGACCGGCTATTCAAGACGAGTATCGTGTTCGCCCACGACGAAGGGAAAGGCATCTTGTTCAAGGTTTTATCGGCGTTCGCGTTCCGGAACATTGGGTTGACGAAGATCGAGTCGCGGCCGCATCGTAGCCGGCCGATTCGGTTGGTCGACGATGCTGACGTTGGGACAGCCAAGTATTTCGATTACATATTTTATGTGGATTTTGAAGCGTCAATGGCGGAAGTTAGGGCACAAAATGCCTTGGCCGAAGTTCAGGAATTCGCGTCTTTCTTGAGGGTTTTGGGAAGTTATCCGATGGATATGACGCCTTGGTGTTCTTCTCGGGAAGAATAGTCCATTATTTTCTTCTCGTAAATTCCCCTGTTCCTCCAATTCCCAAATGCAAAAAAATAATAATACTTTCCTATTCCAAAATAAATGTCATCCTACACTTTACACAGTTTAAGAAACTCTTGAATATGGCAATAAAAGGCTCAACTAACCCCATTACAAAAACATCCACCAATAGTATTAATTCTTTTGAGGATAATTTTTTTAACAAAAAGTGTATTGAAATGTGAGAACGACACTTATTTTGAAATTTCTCCATTTTATTAAAATGACACTTATTTTAGAACGGAGGGAGTATTAAATTACATAGTATATTAATTTTATTTATAGAGAATGCCAGAATCGGGAATTGGATGGTATTCTAAAAAATATTTAGAAGTAAAAATGTGGAAGGTTTCTAGTGATTTTGGAACTCAAATGAAAGGATTGGATGACATATGGATTTTTTTATTTATTTTATTTTTTGAGAAGGATGTGGATTGAAATCGGTGTCATTAGCATATGATGATATGAATTTTGGTGGCCAACGAAAATATGTGGGGGAACATGCAAGGAAGGTAGATACAAAAACCAGTTTTAGCCATTCGGTCTCATGCACTTTCAAGTCATTAACTCTCCTGGTCCCCCCCCCCCCAAAAAAAAAACATTTCTACTACAATACATGATAAAAAAAATAGTGAATTATTAAACTAAAATAAAACAAGTATAAAAAATGGTTTTGAGGTTTAGTTTGGTCTAAACATCGTTAATTGTTGTATCATAAACATGTATCATTGGATGCATGATCAGGTTCGATACTTCACGAGTCCCTTTTTGCTTAATTTCTGTGTCAAGCATGCACTAGGTTAAAGATAGTTAGCAACCTGATGCAGAAGGGAAGCTTCTATCGTTGGATCCAAACAAATAACCACGAACACTAAACTGTTTCTTTCCGTTTATTCGACACGCGAATACCCACAAAACAGTCTTCCTAAATCTTGTTGATTAAATATACAAATATTTACGATCTAAGACATGAAAAGACTCACCAAAAAATAGAACCAAAAGTTTGTCTAAAGAAGTAATCTCAATTTTATAAATGAAATAACCATCTTACAAATGAGATTGCCAAAGTCCAAAACCATTAAATAGAAAAGAAAACAATAAAACCATAATCAACTTATATAAAATTACTAAAACAACCTGAAAAATCATTATTAAAACCCCTAATCTACGCCTCCATCAAAACCCATGCATTCTTTTATGAAATTCTTGACGTTGGGCATTAACATATGAAGATATACGAAAATTGCCATAGACGTACGATTGGAAGCTAAAGAAAAACATAAGGCAGGTACGGCTTGGACGTGATAAATTAAGGAGATTTGGTCACTCTTTATTTTGATGATGGTTCGCGGGTTCCAAGTAGTTCATGATAGTGGTGGTGGTGATTTCGTTTTTGTCAAGCACATTCCATCATCTTCTTTTTCGCTTTAATTTTTTTTTTCCCCTTCGGCACCCGAAATTGAAAATTTCCATTATTTGATGAAAGAGAATGATTGTTGCACAAGAGCACCTTTGTGAAAAAAAATAATATTTGATAGATTGATTGGTGAGAAGAAGCTATTCAAACAAACAAATAATTAAATAACAAATATATGTGTAAAGAATTACATGAAATTTGTTTCCGAATTTAATGAATCAAGAAATGGAGGTTGCTTGTTAGAAGTAAATAACATTTTGTCATAGAAATATTCTTTGGTCAGGTTAATGAATAATTTTTCGCACAGTTGTTCAGCAATTTTGTGATTCATTAGTTCTTCCCGTACCTTAATCATCAAACACAGTGAATATAAAATCGACTAGAGTCAGCTGTCCACATTTATTAGTTGGTCCGCAAAAGAGAGCTTCCGCGAAAAAACTTTCCATCTCAAAATTAAATTAGTCAGAGCTCATAGTACTAGATGTATGTGTAATTAATATGTTAAAGAAAGGACGTTTCTCATTCGGAGTCAAAATCCATTTGTAAATTTCAACACTGTCAAACACCATAGAAAATATCCTCTAATTTAATTTTGTTTTACAATGCCTCTAAGTTCGAGAACTGTAAAGAGAGAGAGAGAGAGAGAGAGAGAGAGAGAGAGAGAGAGAGAGAGAGAGAGAGAGCAAAGAAACAAAGAAGCAAACTTATACAAAACCTAATTGACATCGAATTAAGGATAGAAGCAGCAGATTGTCTCTTAATCAATCTAGGGTCTCTTAATTTCAAATATCTATATATATATATATATATATATATATACATACTCCCTCTTTCCAAAAAGAAAATAATAATAATACTCCATCTGTCCCAAAATTATTGTCCAATTTGATATTTTACTTTTAGTACAATTTGAACTAGAAATGAAAACTCAAACTGGATAATAATTATGGGACAGAGGGAGTAAAAAATAATCCACATTAAATTTTCAGTTTTGTTCTATTTTTTAGTACAAATTTAAAAATTGTAAGCTATTTTTTTTTTTTGGGAAAATGTAATAATATTCCTGGATTCAATCGTCAAGCTTACAAAAGTTGGATCTCTGTATGCTATATCTAACTATTTATATATACAACTCCTACGTCAACTTTAAAGCAATGTAGCAGCTGGATTTACATAGACAAAACTAACACCCTTAATCTGAGGGCTGTGGTTTAACTTTGTACAAAATATAAAATTAAATAACTTGACCATCAGACCAACATCACACGGATCAATGAGTTGGCATTTGCCAATACCTCTCTATTTCTATTTTAGCATAATAAAGATGGCCAAAAGTTAAAAAACTAAACTATTATATTTTGTGAATGAAGCACCTGCGATTGCACATGTTGTGCACGTGCTCTAGAACCGTACAGAAGCAAGTTGGCCGTAGAAGCTGGTCACATTCCATGCTTGCAGGTGCAGGGGCGGAGTTTCTGCACTTGAGCTGACGAGGTAGGATCCTTCATATATTGTTACACAAACTTTAGCATCTGCAAGCGACTATTAAACCAAGTAGTCTGCACTCGTAATTCCACATCATTTCGCAAATCCTATTACTTATTAAAGCAATTGATCATTTCGGAATGAATTCCGCATTCTTTCTACTCCTGCTTATCTTTTTTGTTTCCAACCCTCAACTTTCTTCCGCAGCTAAATCACCGGACCCGGTTCGTGACACTAACGGAAAAAAGGTCGGAGCTGTTGCTCGTTATTACATATCTCCGGTTTACCCGATTACCGGAGGAATCGAGCTAGAGAACCTAGACGACAAGCCATGCCCGCTTGATGTTGTGCTAGCGGATCAAGTTCCCGGTCTCCCTGTCTCATTTTATTCCGTTAAATCTAAAAAAGGCGTCATTCGTGTTTCAACGGATCTCAACGTGGAGTTACCAACTACTATTCCTTCAACAATATGCCCTAATTCTACTATGTGGAGTATTGATATTTCCCCTTCGACCGGGAACTATTTTGTTTCAACCGGTGGACAGAGAGGGAGTCCGGGCCCAAATACGATAATCAATTGGTTTAAGATTGAGCCCTTCGGGTCTGGTTCTTACAAGCTTGTTTATTGTCCCACGTTTTGCAAAACTTGCAAAGTGATTTGTAAAGATGTCGGAATTGTTGTCCAAAATGGGAAAAGGCGCCTTGGTTTGACCGATGATCCGATGAAGTTTGTCCTGAAGAATGCTTTAAAAGGTTTTTAATGCTTGTTAGTCATAATTGTACCCCAAGCCTCTAGTATTTGTGTTTCTTTTGAGTAAGAACATATTCACTTTTTCTACTCTTCCCCGTACTTATTATAAACCATTTTAATTTCTCCCAAGTTTTATTTACTATGTTTTTTGGTGGATAATAAAAACTTATAAATGTATTCACATTTATAGTATTTTTCAATTACTATAAAATATTTTTAAGATTTTATTTCAATTGGAAGAATATATTTAATGAAAGCTAAGACAAATCAAACCTTATCATAAGTATCAGAAGCGATCGTTACGAATAATTAAGTTTATCCCAATTATTGTAATCTGTGGAATAATTCATTCCCCTGTACGTAAGAACATGAATGATATCAAACGTGCATCTTATCTAGCAAATAGCTAGTATGTATCTTTTGAAGGGATCATTCAAATATGTTTGTAGAAACCCATTACTGCATAGTGATGAGCTAGTGTGTTTTCTATTTAGAAGGAAGAAATTTAAAGGTTGGTAATTACCTACTTAGTACTTAACCTCACCTCAGCGCAGAGGGTATATATTTAAATACTTTTTACGAATGAAAGCGAAGTAGTTAATGATACTGTGAATGGACAGTTTGGACCTTAACCATATCATACATGGAGCAGTAAAAAACGCCACTCGTCTTGTAGACTTAAATGGTGATGTCATGATTTTTTTATAAAAACATTTTTGTAAGCTATTTAGCTTTTTAGTTTTTACATGGATCTGATTGGGAATTTGTAGTAGCATTGAAGTCTTGAAGAATGACTATTTGTAGTAGAAAGCTAGATAAGTGAAAAATACCACTCTGTCAATGTATATTAATATGGCCATGTCGCAGCAATTGAAATTTTCTTTCACTGATTAATTTGGTTCCCTTTTTCAAGTTTGAGCTTTTGTTTTAAATGGCAAAATTTCAATTAGAATTTAAGAAATATGATTTTGATATGAAAGATGTCACTAGATGAAAAGTCGAAGCCAAAACTCAAATCTAAAATTAAGCAAATTAAAATAGTGATCTATAGAATAAAATACTCAAAATATAAATCATTGAAGTCGTGGCAAGCATCGGTTGTGCTATTCAGATCATTATGGTCAATTGATTGATTGTTTTCATCATAATAATTAGCTTTCTCTATAGTATTGGTGCTGGATTTTTTGTTCTGATTGGTTGAGGATTTTGGAGACGACCGTAACAGAAGTAAATAATCAGTGTGTAAGAGAGACTAGGTGAATTAGAAGACTTGGAGATTTATGAATGTCCAGTTCGGGCTCATTTTGAAACATACTACCTCCATTTTTTTTAACATGTCGCTTTAAGATTTGCACTAAATATTAACAATGATTGATAATATAATTTTTACCTATAATACCTTTCTTACTCCTAATTAAAAGTATTGAAATTCTAAAAAAAATTAAAATTGAAGTAAAATAATAGGTAGTTGTCATTAAGGGGTGGGATGGTTGGGTGGGTGGTTAAGAGATTAGAATTTAAATGGTTATTGGTCGAGAGTTCGATTCTCGCTCTAGCCATTCAATATTTTTTTAAAAAAAAAAATAAGTTGTCATTAATATATATATATATTTAGAAAAAAAGTAATTGTCATTAATATATGCTATTAAAAATAGAGAGATAAGGGTGAAATTGAAAAACTATATTTAATTATGTATTGAAAATGAAGTACGACAGATAAAGAAAAAATGGAGTTCGTATTTCCTAAGAATCGAACTTTGTATTGTATTTGTCGGTTATTGCATTATTTTTATCTCGATATTTACAACGTTTATTCATGCAATAAAACAGTAGTTTTGAACATGATTAACTAGTGTTCTTTTTTAAAAAAAAAAAAAAAAAAAAAAATCCGTCCTAGTGAACCCCACTTAAATATGAGTATAGCCCCCTTTACAACTTCTGGTGAAAATTTAACCCTACTCTATTACCAGAAAAGAAAACAATCTAACTACGAAGTTGTTATTCAATTCCCACGCGATTAACCAGTGTTCTCTATTTAATGAGTGTATTAATATTAATTTCTTGTTCTTAGAATTCCACATCGTACATTGTACCCCTAGACTTTCTCATCTGCCATTAGGCGATAGCGGTTTCAAGCAAAAAGTTATATATAGTCAATGCTATTAATTTAGTACTGACGGATAACAATATAAATAACAAGACTTTCTCATCTGTCATTAGGCGATAGCGGTTTCAATCAAAAAGTTATATATGGTCAATGCTATTAATTTAGTACTGACGGATAACAATATACATAACATGAGCAACTTGCAGATAAAGTACACCAAAATAGCCGCGTGGGATGATAAGTTTCCTGTTGGTAAAATATAACAAGTATTCGTAAAATCTAAGAAAATAGAAAGACAGAATAATCCGAAACAATAGAAATACGATCTCTTTAAAACAGATTTGTCCCTTCTAGATGTTTGAGGATCTAAAGATCAAAAAATACATATAAGAATTGACATAATATTACGTATATATTGGCTATGCGATGGTGTTGCCTAACTTTCTCTTTGCGATGAATGCTAATGCCAAAAGAAGTAAAAATTAAACTATTACATATTCTGGAATTCCTGAGTGAATCGTGTTCTAATCATCACCATGTAACTGAGATCACCATAACTAAAGTTAAAGATTTTAGTAATAAACTGTGAAATATAGGGGTTACGAAAAGGATATTTTACTTGTCCAATTATTTTAGAGTAGATTTGCTAGTATGGTACACAAAAGATGTGTTAGGACATTTTTCCCTTTTTAATCAAGAGTTAAACATTTGATCTCCTGATTTACATCACCACGCTAACGACCTCACTAAATCCTCGCGCAGGTGACCTGGCATCTTAGCCTTAGATGTTTTCGAATCCTAATTCCTAAATGATTTATAAATGAAGAAACTGTTGATGGGGACTCAAGTCACCAAGTTTTTCATTTAAAATATGGTTTTAGTTTGAGGTTCAAAGTTTCACGATTCAGCTGCGGATCTAACGCCTCAATATCAGCGGTCAGGTACAGTTCTAGCTAATCAGCCATCGGACAAAGTAGTAATAATATATATTACCTCCGCCCCTAAAAATAGTTCACATTGCATTTTCAAATTTATGCTAAAAATATCACAAAACTCAGAACTCAATGTGCACTATTTTTTTGGGACGGATGGAGTAGTAAATTAATGAAAACTTTGTTTTTAGTTTTCCGAAAATCCGTGCACGAAAACCTAGTACCGCGTGATTAATTCCTAGATCATATCCACCGAATTTCCACGTATACCAAATTGACAATATTAGTTCAATCGCATCCACACGAATCAAAGTGTGACAAAAAGTCAAAGTCAACCCCATGATCTGTCCAAGTCAAAAAGGTCATTTTATCTAAGTCAACCTCCATATCTTACTGAGCTTTCTATAATAAAACGTCACTTCGTAATGTGAATATATGAGCTCTTTCCAAATCTAAACAACATCCAAAAAAACAAAATGAAGCCTTCAATAACTTACCTTCCATTTCTCCTCCTATGCATTACTTACTCAAACACCTTGTTGTGCTCGTCGACGGCCGCTGACCCGCTATCGTCGCAGCCAGAGGCGGTAGTGGATACACTCGGCCGTCCGGTCAAATTCGGCGACTATTTCTACTACATTAAACCGGCCGACAAGACCGGAAAGTACCCCGGAGGAGGGCTCGGACTACGTGGCATTCAGGGCAACATGAGCGACTCCTCATGCCCTCTTTGTGTTGTCCAAGAAACAATAGAGCTCCGGGACGGTCTCGCAATGCAGTTTTATCCGGTCAATAAACCGGACGACGGAATCATCCGGGTCGACACCGATCTGAACATCCAGTTCGCTTTCCCGGATACTTGCAACCAACCCACTGTGTGGAGGCTACAGAAAACCAAAGGGAAGTGGTTTGTGAATCTGGGTGGGGAAATCGGGAACCCGGGACCCGAGACGGTGAGCAATTGGTTCAAGTTCTTGAAGACCGGGAAGTCGAAAGAAGGGTACAACAAGTATTTGATTCTGTATTGTCCGATGTCGGTTTGTAGATCTTGTAACGTTGTCTGTAAGAATGTTGGCATAGTTATGCAGAACGGGAAAAGACGATTGGGGCTGGCAAAGAAGCCTTATGAGATCGTATTTGAGAGCTGAAGATCTGCCGGATCAAAGAAGTTGTGCCTTTTTTCTTTTCTTTTTTTAATTCGTTATGAAGTCTATTTACAGTACAATATAATACTGCCTCCGTCCCAAAAAAATAGTTCACATTGAATTTTCAAATTTGTACTAAACACGATATAAAATTTAAAACTCAATGTGGACTATTTTTGTGAGACGAAAGGGAGTTAGTTTTTAGCTACGTGCTTGTCTTCAATTTTTCAACTTGTAATTTGTAACTCTGGCTTGCGAATTGCTGAATCTCGGATCATCGATGTATAATAACTTTATTAATTTTCACTAGTTTCATGAAAGCTATTGTTAATGTGACTTTTAAAAGGTACCGCATATGTTCCCTCTTGCATTTCAGGGAAGTAAAACCTATTAAAAATTTATTGAGAAAGTCAAAAGTGATATTTTTCAATTTCGATAAGGATTTGTCGAGATAGTAACTATAGAAAATGACGTATATAATGTACCTTATGAAATGAAACATCACAGAGTCTCTCTTCGATTGGTCAAAATTGTTGCAAGTGTGACCTTATCATCATTTTTACTTATGTATCGCATTACGGTATAAAGGAAATAATGATTAAAATTCTAATTTTTTTTCCAAGTTAGTCTTGAACTCTTCTCCACCTCCTCCTGCATTAACAAAAGTCTTGATTTTAGGAAGGCCTACACGATGACCCGATTGGGCTCTAAATTGGGTTTTATATTTTTTAAAAACTTTGATATTCACTCTGATCATATAATTATTATCCAGTTTGAGATTTCACTTCTAGTATAATTTAAACTAGAAATGAAAACTCAAACTGGACAATAATTATAAAACAAAGGGAGTATTTCCATAAAAAATTGTATCTAATTGATGAGAAACACAATATCTCAACCAGATTACATTGTGTAATTTTCGAAAAAAAAAATTATTGAAGTTAATTTATACAATAATTAGTCCCATAAAATTAACAAAAAAGAACTTCACTTCCTCTTAACAAATCAAAACCAAATTTCATTAAATAACCACGTTTTGCCACTATTCATAGAGGAGTATATAGCCGAATAAAATATCCTCCTTGACTATTAGAAAAAAGCCTAACTGTTGAGGCCAAATTATAACTTTAGAAGAACACTAGTAAATCTCAAACACCTAATTAAATAATTTTACAAGTAATATATAATTGTTTAATTTTACTACAATAACGCCTTAGGTTTGTCATTGGTTACAAAGGGATACCATCGAAAATTACCGAAAGAAAATTGCCAATTCTACAAAATAGTTAAATTGGGGCCGAAGGACTGTCGTTGGCATTGGAAAAAACTTATAGCCATAAAAAATGCTTTGAAAGAAGGAGTCCAGAATGGCAGTTGGGTGACTAATGCTAAAGAAGGTTACACAAAATAAAAATGGTTATATATGGATGAAAGGACAACAAGGAAAATGGAAAACCTCAAAACTTGTATGGAGTCCCTACAACTTACCAAAGCACAGCTTCATCAGCTGGCTTGCACTCAAGGGTAAATTGCTTACCCAGGAAAGATTGAATAGGCTGCATTTGTTGAAAGAACCCCATAAAGTGTGATATATCTGATGGAAACGAAGAAAACGTTGATCCCCTGTTCTTTTAATGTGCTTACTCTCAGCAGATGATCAACCAGATAAAGTAGTGGTTGGGCTTGCAAATCCGTTTGAAATGCTTAAGGAAGGATGTGAGATGGTTGAGGAAAACATATACGGCAGTATAGAAAGGTGAAGCAGAGGACTATGTTTGCAGCAATAATAACAGCTATTCATCCAATATGGACAAAAAAGATGGAAGGAAATTTAGGCAGCAAAATGCTACAGTGGAGGATCATGTCAGGAGTATCAAAATGGAGGTAACCTGGAAACTTCATTTTACTTGTAAAAATAGAAGCAGTAGTGACTGTTCTTTTTTAGATAGAATTGGTGTACATTGAATGAGTTAAATGTAATAGATAGATAGTAGGCTTGTACAGCTTCAAGTTATTGCCAAAAAAAAAAAAAAAAAAAGTTAAACTGCCGTCGACTTTGTCGTCGAAATTTCTATGTTGAAGTACAATCCGACGCAATTTCTTTTTGGCGAAATTCCTATAGTTTGGATTTTCACCACCAATTAAAAAAAAAAAAAACCTAAGCTTTATTTAATAAAATAATGATATAATGAATAATGATCACCATGTTGTGCAATGATCCTTTAGCACGGTCTATCCAGGACCACGTTACTTTGGAACAATATTTTTTCTGTCATAATATGATTATCATATTTGAATTTTTAGTTTTACACCGTATGTACTGAAATAAAAATTTAAACCGGACAATTATTTCAAGACAGAGAATATTACTTAACTTTAGTTAACTGGCATCTCATTGTCAACGAACTTGCCAATAGGTATCCATCTAAAACACTAAGTCCTCATGCAATTCAGCTTCAGATATGCAACTTCTTGCATAATCATGTGATGAAAATGGACTCAATTCTACTACTAGTAGTTATCCCGTAGTTTCTTGAAATCTTCTCATCCTCCTCCTGACACTAAAAGCCTATGTTTTGAAAATCGGACCGGAAAGAAAATCATTAACGTGAACAGGTTGGTGGGTTCACCGGTTAACCGGTTAGCTCGTTCCTAGAAACCAATGAAAAACAGTTAAAATAATATTAAAACATAATTTAAAAAATTAATTTTTAAAAGATGTATATATAAAAAAAATGGTTGAACCAGTGTCGATTTCCAGTCGAACCGGAGTTTTGTCCGAGTTTGACCAGGTTTTACAAAATTCGGTTTTTTATAGAAATCGGATTGGTAAAGTTGCCGGTTCCCGGTCTAATTGGTTCGACTGCCTGGCCGGTTGGTTTTGAAAACATAGCTAAAAGCCACTACGTTAAGAATCTACAAAATGACGTTGAATTAATTAATTACTATTTTTGCAAGGTTTTTATTTCTCTATTCATGATAAAAATTATGACTTCAGGAAGTCGGAATGTCCCGATTGGGCTCTATCTTCGGAGTTTCAAGTTTTCAGGTAGAACTTTGTGCTGTTTCGTATAGATTTAAAATCGTTTCGAAGTCATTTGAAGGGACAAATAAAAGGTAAGTGCAAATTGTATGTGGTGTTGAGGAGGAATTAGGCCCAACACTAGTTGTGGAGAAGAATTTGAGCAATGATAAAGTTGGTCACTAATACATAACCTCTTTTGGAGTAAGGCATTTCTTGTGAAAAATGTGTTTAGTTTTCCAAACAAAAAGATCATTTGATATTTCATAATGAAAACTAGTTGATACTGATTTAGTTAGGATTTCTTATCCAGGTAGTAAAAATAATTTTATTATCTAAGACTTGGTCTTAATTTTACTGTTACAAAGAAAACACTGTGGATACATTTACACTTTGCAAATAAAATTTGTCACGATCAGCCAATAAGTCTAATGTTTGGGGGAAGAATAAATTAACATGTCCCGACCTTCATCTCATAAAGTTGGAAAAGTAAATGGAATTTAATGGCATGATAAATATTTATCACGAAATCAAATTTGGATATCAATGGAGAGCAAATTATGATACAAGCATTTCAGAAATGTTGTCCTCTGATGGGAACATATCTAAGCTTGTACAGATAATGGCATCTTAAAGTTTCTACACTATCACTAGGTCCATATTATTATTACTCTCTAATTAATTATCATAATAAATTAACAATAATAGTACTTGTTAAACTCATATCATAAAGTAATCAAATCATTCTGTCGGCCACTGTTAATTAAATCGATCGAAACCGGGGGTTAAGGGCCTCCTAAGTTTAAAACAACTAGGATTAGTTTTCAGTATTGATTTTATATTTCCAACTTTTCTCAATGGAAGAATATGCTTCCTAAATTGGTCTCTGATGGTTGTTCCTCAAACCACATCATAACGGGAGTTTGTTTAAGCCCCAAGTCAATGTCAATGTAGTTGTTGGCTGCTAGAAAGAGATACTTTGTTTAAGTACCATTTTTGCTTATTTGTAAGGCACTCACTGTTAATTAATATACTATTTTGGCTTTACATATGCATGAATGATGTACCCTTTTGGAAGCTCCACTGATACTAATTAAATTAGTTAAAGAATGAAACATCTCTTAAAAGTAAAGGGCTTGGAAAAATAACAAACAACTCCTTTGTTTTTGTGGGTTTGTGTATTTGTAGTTGCTCATAATGATTCTCTTGAATACGTAAAACTTTATTTTCATATATTTTCTTAGTGTCTACCATTGTTGATAATTAGGTGATTGAAAAGGGGAAAAAAGAAAAAATCTGGGACGATGCATATCTTCCTGTAAGTACTGCGCCTCCGCCGAATGAATTAATGTTGGACTTGGAGGAACACTTAACAATCAACCCCAGATAATTTTTTAAAAAAAAAATGTGTACAATTGAATGGCAGGGATTTATCAGTTTTTAACCAAAATTAGGTGTTTGTACCTTGTTTTAGGTATGGATTATTCTTAAAACCCCTCAACTAATTGTCCTACCATCATGATGTCTTAAATTTAGAGAACGGATTAGTCATTACCATTAATAGTAAACAACAGAAATCATATACTTCTTCTGCCCCAAAATTATTGTCGAGTTTGAGATTTCACTTTTAGTATAATTTGAACAAAAAATAAAAACTCAAACTGGATAATAATTATAGGACGGAGGGAGTATAAACATATAATATATTAATTAATCGGGAGCCGGGACGTACACCCTATTTTATTAACAGTCTTCCCATGAAAAATTGCTTAGCTAGTGCTGACAAAACTAAATCTGCTTAATTTCATGACACAGTACGTGGTTATAAGCACTAGAGTCTAGCTACGTACCAAATCTTGTAAAGTGTGTTTACTTGGATAATTTTGTCCACTGCTCCTTCCTAATTAAAATGCCAACATTGTGCTTTTCTTTATATATTCTAATAATCGGTTTTCTCCGAATAAAAAAAGTTTGTGTGTTCATCTAGATCACTCAATGACTGCAAAGACATACTCCGAGATATACTTTTCTATCCAAAGAAAAACGTGTAAAAAGAAATAAAATTTTGAGAATTTAGTAAATGCATGGCATAGGGTAGGTTACCCGTTTTCGAACGTAGCTCTGATATAAATAAAATTGAATCATATGATGACAAAGGGACGATGATTTCAACCAAAAAAAAAAAAAAAAGAGTAAGATGATGAATAGAGCAGTAAATGGAAATGTATCTGTCAAACCGAAATTGCGGAAAGTAGCGAAGAAAAAAATCGAACGATCCAAAATGGTGCCCG